TATTCTACTGGAACAGAAACAAAATTTAAACTCCTGATTAGTCGCGGCGCCATGTTGGAATCAGAAACGAGAAATGACACGTTAATTTATATGGCGTGCTATTTTTAAATAAAGACAATTTGGATGAAACGAAATGACAAGATCACTTTCAAACACTTGTAAAAATCGATGAAAACTTTCCTCCCTTGACAGTCAGTAAATGATCGTAAAAGGCACATAAAGTGAGCCTATATTCGGGCAGAAATACGGTCCGACAGCTGTTGAAACGAAAATATACGCTTTTATATATAAAATTCCAAGATAACTTTAGTTTTCATCGATAATTACGACTTTGATAAGTACGAGACAAGTCACATTTTCACAATTAGGCAAATAATAACGAAATGATATGCAACATAAATTTCGTCGTCAAAATGTCACTTTTCCACGCCTATAAGTTCGATCATTTATCGTGGTCGGCATTGTAACACACACAAGCACGAGCCCATGTCCGTGTGCCCGCCTGCGGTGCAAAAGTGAACGAGATAGCGAGCTCCTTCTCCTACTAGTAGCTTGTTTCAAGCAACCGAAAATGCTTTCTCGGAAATGCAATCTCATGCAATCTCGGCGGTCCTAAGCATCAATAAGGGGCAGGGGGCATCTTAAATAACATAAGTTTCAATAAATTGTAATAATAGTATCTCTCTTCTTAATCCAGAATAGTATAAATCATGTTAAAACGCAACAGATATTATGAGATATTCAATTGTTTACGATTTTTTATGCGCGTTATATACTACACCTCTCCTTCATAACTCAAGTAGCAAGAAGTTCAATAGAAGTAGAATTTTATCGGAAAAAAATTATAACCAGCATTTCTTTTCAAAAAAGAAAGTCTCGAAAGACCATTAGAAAAGAAATGCGTATGTTCGAGACTCGAGATTTGCGAAGAAAATATGCGAAAAAAAATCGAATAGTTGCAAAAAGTATTTTTCACTTATAAAACGGAAGATATTGATTGTATGAAAAAAAATCGGTATAAAAAAAATGTACGTATTCGAAATAATTACAAAATGAGACGTGGAACACGTTAAGATCGATCTATTAATTCAGTAGAAAAAAAATTAAAAAATGACCAAAAAAGGCTTTTTTCGGTAGCTCGCTCTCTGTTCATTGAGATTTAAACACAAAGCTTTGAAATTTAAAATATAACTTTCGTAACGACGAACAAATCTAGCTCTGAACAAGCCTGAAAATGTTCATTAATTTTTGCAAAAAGCCATTTGTTCACTAAAAACCTGTCTGCGGAAAACTTAATTTCTTGATCTTTGAGCAGTCGTACAACAATTTACAGGAATTCTGCTTCTTCAAGAATTGCACTACCACGTACACTTAATAAAACAATTTGTTTGCAGTTAAACTATTATAAAACGATTTTAAAAAGTGGGTATCTTTTTCCGTATAAAAAAAACGAAAATAATTTCGTTAATATGCATCATATCAAATAGCCGTGTGAAGCATTCGAAATCTGACATTTGTCTACGAATTTAAAAAAAAAAGATTACCTTCCGATTATTAGGAGCCGAAATAATAATTTTTTTCCATAAATCATTATGGCTCTAGTTTTTAAGATTAAGAGTTCGGTCTGGCACCAATTTGTCAAGGAAGAACTGAATTTTTGTTGTTGAAAAACTCTGGAATTTTTTGATGTCGAAAAAGTTCGTTTAAAACCATTGGAAAGTTGAAGAACGCGAGCGAGGCAGTGCACCGGGCAGAGGGAAGCAGGGTTGATAAAAAAATAAAACATTCAGTTTTTTTTGTTTAAAACATGTTTTTAATGTTTTATATATGTTTTAAACAGCTTTAGAAAAACAAAAAAATGCGTTTAAAACAAAAAAAACACCGTTTAAACATATATTTATTATATTTTATTAAAACGCATTTTTATTTTCAAGTATTTTGAAGCGTTTCTGAGGTACATTTTAGCATTTAATTACATCTATTTCCTCATTTTTCTTAAATTTGAACGTATTATCACATAAATATATGTATATTTGAATGTGTTGTTTGCTATTTAACATTTTATTTGACTGTATATATTTTAAGTCATGCAAATTTAAACAATAGCATGGCATTTTACTAATGTGATCTTTTATGCGTATTGATTATTTACGGCTTCTTTTTTGAGATTTTTATTTCAAAATAATTATTTCTTGAATTAATTGTAGTTCTAATATTAATCTACAATTTACGTTACTATAGATTTTTATAGGCTGCCTATCTGCTTATATATAGAGTATTTGGAAAATGATAAATTTCTTTCGCATAGGGGCAGAATGGAGAAGAAAAGTATTCTATCATTTTGCAATTTTAATAGTTAACAAGATATTAATTGCTAAAAATTATCGAAAATTGATCTTCAATAATTTTTTATTCAAATATTGGGTGGATCCATATAGTCGTTCGGTTTTTGAAGGCTAAAATGAAACAAATTTTTTTCATACAAAGAATGAATTTTAATCAATGATATATTCTCCGTTTTTGTTGATGACCTCTTGCCATCTTTTCAACAATTTCATTATTCCGCTCTCATAGAAGGTCTGGGGCTTAGAGGCGAAAAACCGGTCGAGGTTCGTTTTCACAGCTGTCTGATCAGCGAACGATTTTCCGTTGAGGGAGTTTTGCAGGGACCGGAACAAGTGGTAGTCGGATGGCGCAAGGTCTGGTGAATACGGTGGGTGGGGCAAAACATCCCAGCCAAGTTGCACTAATTTTTGCTGAGTGATTTTTGCGGTGTGGAGTCTGGTGTTGTCATGGTGGAATATGACACCTTTGCGATTGACCAGTTCTGGACGTTTCTGTCACAATGCTTGATTCAATTTCGTTAGCTGCGTGCAGTAGACTTTCGAATCGATCGTTTTTCCTGAGGAAGCAGCTCGTAAAACAGCACACCACGATGATCCCACCATATGGATAACAAAATCTTCGGATGCAGGCCGGCCTTCGGGGTGGCATTTCGGCGGCTTGCCAGTGGTTCCCCATGATCTCTTGCGCACTATGTTGTCGTAGATGATCCACTTTTCGTCGCCAGTCACTATTCGTTTGAGCATGGGCCGACCGCTGCGAGGTCCATCTTCAAGACTCGTATCTCCGGAACGAAATTTGGCAAACCATTTCTGAGTAGTACGTTCTGTTAAGGCATCGTCCCCGTATACGCCGCATATCTTTTCAACCTCGGTGGGCCTCCGCAGCTCGCTTGCCTTTCTTGAAGTAATAAAATAAAATATGCCGAAAATGCACTTTATTCTCCGACATGTTCACAGGCTTGTAGCACAAACAAAACTAATGCCAATGAAACCAAATTTGACAGATAAAAAGAGCGGACTGTCACCTTTCCAAAACATATTTGGATTGCCCGATTAGGCAACCAGAACCGGAGATATTCGGAAAAAATTTGCACTACTAACAAAAACCGAACGACTATATGGATCCACCCAATACTATCAACTTTTCAGAAAAACTACAAAAAACAAAAATTGTTTATTTTCTTCTCATAAAACTCTACGAATTTTTTTAGAATTTTTTATCAACTTTTTAATACTACATTTTTTTATTTTTATATATACAATATAAGAAATATACAATAATATACAATATAAAATACAGTATTAAAAAATTCTTAAAAAATTCTTAAAAAATTAGAGCTCTATGAAAAGAAAATTAATAATTGTCTCTTGTAGTTTTTCTGTAAAGTTGATAGTATTCGAGTAAAAAATTATTAAAGACCAATTTTCGGCAACTTTTATCAATTAATATCTTGTTAATTATTGCTAAATGATAGAGAACTTTTCTTCTTAGTTTAATCCATTCTGTCCCCATGTAAAAGATTTATCATTATTTTCCAAATACTCTATATACTTGCAGATACAAGTATGACATATGTAAACAAATAATAAATAATTTGCCAAATGTTAGTGTAACTGTTGAATATAGTTGCAAAATATTTTTCATGTAACACTAATTTACTTTTATATTTGTGAAAGTTAGTGTTATATATTTAATAGTTAACTAACATTTGGCAAATTACTTATTAATTATTTGTTTACATATGTCATTTTATTTGCATTTGCAATTAAATTCATAAAAACAATTTTGTACTGATAATTCCGTACATTTAATTGTCCAATTGGATACTTTTTACGGCATGTTAAATAAAGAAACATAACTAATGTGACTTCAATTTGTTAATCAGACATGCATTCCATAATAAAAGTAATTTTTTAGTATCAAATCGAAAAAATAAAAATTCAAGAAAGAAAAAATTTTTTAAACTAAAAATTACAATTCGAGATTTTTTTAACAGCAAATTCAATCTTCTTTGACAAATTGATGCCAGACGGAACTCTTAATCTTAAAAACTTGAGCCACAGTGATTTTTTGAAAAAATTGTTATCTCGGCTCCTAATAATCGGAGGGTAATTTTTTTTTTTAAATAGAAAAATGTCAGATTTCGAATGCTTCACACGGCTATTTGATATGATGCATATTAATGAAATTATTTTCATTTTTTTATATGGAAAAAGATACTTTTTAAAGTCGTTTTATAATAGTTTAACTGCAAACAAATCATTTTGTTAAGTGTACGTGATAGTGCAACTCTTGAAGAAGCAAAATCCCTGTAAAATGCTGTGCGACTGCTCAAAGAAATTAAGTTTTCCGCAGACAGCTTTTTAGTGAATAAATAGCTTTTTGCAAAAATTAATGAACATTTTCAGGTTTGTTCAGGGCTAGATTTGTTCGTCATTACGAGGGCTACATTTTACGAGAATTTTCAAGCTTTGCGTTTAAATCTCAATGAACATAGAGCGAGTGAAAAAAGACTTTTTTTGGTGTTTTTTAATTTTTTTTTCTACTGAACTAATAAATCGATTTTAATGTTCCATGTCTCATTTTGTAGGTATTTCGAATACATTTTTTTACCATACAATCGATATCTTTCGTTTTATAAGCGAAAAACGTGCTTTTGGCAACTATTCGATTTTTTTTCGCATACTTCTTCACAAGTCTCGGATCTCAAACATACGCATTTCTTTTCTGATGGTCTTTCGAGACTTTCGTGAAGAGAAATGCTGATTTATAATTTTTTTCCGGTAAAATTCTACTTTTACTGAACTATTCTTGCTATTCGAGTTTATGAAGGAGAGGTATACTATATAACGCGCATGAAAAATCGTAAACAATTAAATATCTCGTAAACTGTTACGTTTTAACATGATTTATATTATTCTGGATTAATGGGAGGAATACATTATTACTACAATTTATTAAAATTTATGTTATTTAGAATGCCCTCCGCCCCTTATTAATGTCTAGGGCCGCCGAGCGGCCGAGATTGCCGAGAAAGCATTTTCGGTCGTTTGAAACAAGTGTGAGAAGGAGCTTGCTGTCTCGTTCACTCTCGGTGCGCCGCAAGCGAGCACACGGACATGGGCTTGTGCTTAAGTGTGTGGCTACCGTTTCGCCAGCCGCCGTCTGATTTTGTGTCGCCATCGTTAACGCAGAGTTCTTGGCTGATTAATCAGGAGCCTTGAGCTCCGTCAGTAATACAATAGTTTTATGTCAATTACATACATGGTTTAGGTAGTGCACAGGCAGCCAAAAAAATGACATTGTCGGAACTATAAAATAAAGATTCGTACTTTAAAAATTTTTGCATGAATTTTGAAGTTTCAAGTTTCAAGGATGTTGCATCTCAGGGCCCTTCTCAATGTGGGTTTAGCTTTAGTGTTTGTATTATTTTTCTGCGAATATCTCATATATTACGTAGTGCTTATACAGGTAAGTTTTTATGATAAAAACTTTTGTCAAACAAAATATCTTGCTTAGGAACATAGAGTCTCTGTCCTTAATAGAAACTCTGATAGTCGTTTTGTTTTTTAGTGCGAATGGCCCACTCTGGACCCTCGAAAGGAAGATTCCTCTTTACATGGAGATACAGCAGACAAACCTGTCAAAGCTATGTTTATAGCGGATACCCATTTATTAGGCTCCAAACAAGGCCACTGGTTTGATAAACTTCGAAGGTTTGTGCCTCCAAACCTGTAATTTTAACTATAGGTCTATTCTTTTTAGCTGAATTTCTTACATGATTCATCTTTCCTCCTTTTCTCTTCACATTGGAGAAAAAGAGAAAAGATAAGTTGTGTATGTAAAAAGTTCTAAAGAGAACAGGCCTTACGTATTGAATATTGAAGATTTTTTTTATATAATGCATTTGGATGTCTATTGAAAAAAAAACTGATAATGTTACTCCAGAGAATGGCAGATGTACAGAGCATTCCAAACAATAATGACATTACACCAAATGGATGTAGTTTTCGTATTAGGTGAGTAATGTTTTAATATATTATTGATTGTGTTAATAGAGAAAGTAGCTTTGTAATTGTTGTAAACATTCTTTAATATGATTAATTTAGATCCATTGAGGAACTAAGGACCAATCATGTTAAAGAATTGTATAATAATTTAAATTTACAATTGAATTTTGAATTTTCAGCAATTAAATTTTATAACAATTGCTGAAAGTAGTTATTGTTCATGACTTTTTCTGTGTCTTCACAGTTTTCTAAAACCTATCAAACTAGAGATTGAAATTGGATTGGAATTTGACTAATTAAAGCAAAGTTCACTAAACTAGATTTTCACTAAATTTGATTTTCTTTCTTTTGATTGATTAAATTCGAATCTAATCTCGATACCTACTCTGATACAGCTTAAAGACTCGCTGTTTCATTATCTAATAATATTCAGGAGATGTTTTCGACGAGGGCAAATGGTGCGGCTCCGCAGAGTTCGAGTACTACATAAAGAGATTTCATTCCCTATTCTACGTGCCTAAAGACACGCGTATCTATGTCGTCGCTGGAAACCATGATATGGGATTTCATTATGGTACGGCAAAGAATATATCTTCAAAGGATCAGTCTCGGACAACAACAAATCCAGTATAATTCCTCCTTCGTATTTAAATTAAATGTAAACATATATTTTGATAATACATTTCTGGCTGAACCCCTGGAATACACTTTCAGCAATTACGCCGTATCGCAATCAGCGTTTCATTAACGGCATGAAAAGCCCGAACGTGCGACGGCTGAGTCTAAGAGACAATCACTTCGTGCTGATCAACAGCATGGCATTAGAAGGAGACGGCTGTTTCTTGTGTCGACCAACCGAGATCGCAGTGAATAAAATAGCTAGTGAGCTATCACCTGTTCGTTTTTATATTGCACTCGGAGAAAAGCATAATGATAGTAACAAAGGTGACAACAATACAAGTTTTTTTTATATAGAATTAATGTAATGTTTTATATGTAGAATTAATATGATATTTTTTTATATATAGTTGCAATAATGATAAAATAGTTTCAACTATGCATATAAATTCTACATATAAAACTAAGTTGTTACCACTACGGTTCATATTCATACCTCACTTTTTTAATGATAAATTTGGCATATAATCTACTATATAATCTATTATATATATTATAGAATCTCAGAAATAAATACACAAGTTTATCGATAAAAGCGAGATCTGAATTAATATGGACTAATGTCTGTTTCTCTGAGTGTAGCATGTCATTTCGTAACTGATTAATTATCAAGTTTACATGTGTATTATCTTGCAGAGGATCTGAAATGTGCGAGAAGAATTGGTAACGATTGTTACAATGCCAGCGCGATTTCCAGATACAGCAGGCCCATATTACTGCAAGTCAGTCTTCCGAATTTGTAAATAAAATATTTTCACAAAGCATAGGAACTAGAAATTTTGAAGAATCGCAAGACCAACTTTTAAAGTTGGTCATCGAAGAAAAAATTGCGTTTGAAAGATTAATAGAAGTATCGTCTCTTCTCCAGCATTATCCGATGTATCGAGAATCAGATGAGATCTGCAACGAATTGGATCAGGCTCCCGATGAGTTGAAGGCCATCAAGTTCCGGGAACGTTGGGAATGCTTGTCGAAAGAAGCGTCAGAGCAGGTACATTTGGTAACTTGAATGGCACAGCCACATGTTTGACATTAAGATGAAATTCGATTTTTGTAGCTTCTAGATATATTGAATCCGCGACTGATCGTCGCCGGTCACACACATCACGGCTGTAGGAGGATACATCGGGATGACATTCTGGAATTCACGATCTCGTCTTTCAGCTGGCGCAATAAAGTCAACCCATCTCTCCTGATGGTAAATCTTAATTTTTAGATTTTGTTAACTCATTAACAATCATTCTTCACTTTTGGGAACATTATAAGTTCAACTATAAAACGAAGAAATAAAAATGATGTATACAAAAATATCGCTAATTTAAGGAGTATTATTTATTGTTTGCCAAAAATAATATTGATGATAAATGATATTCCTCAAACTTTTTATTATCTGACTCCGGGCATGGAATTCTTTTGATAACTATTTGGTGATTCTGGTATTAGACTGGGATCTTCAGCAGATAAGGGCATAATATGCTTAATTGGAATTCTTTATATTATCATATGGCTTTCTCTCAATGAGTTAATTATCCCTTTTTTTTGGGATATAATATATCTATGAATTATTTCTGTTTCAGGGTACTTTCACTCCCAGCAATTATTCCATCTCCAAATGCTACATGCCCGTCGAATCTACTGTGTGTGTTATTTATACATGTAGTTTCCTATGCATACTGATATATTTGATTATAAAACTCAGGCCGAGGCGGCATGCATACTCACGCTTGAGAAGATGCCTTGACTAACTCTATTACAATACGTTCGAACGTGAACGAACGTATAATAATTCTATATACAATGCAGATCCATGGAGGGTGTAATTATCGAATTTAGGACATATCTGTACACCTTTCGTACACGCCATCACGTATTATTTACAACAGTAATAGTATAAAACACTTTGTGATATATTGTAAATTGTAACGATGTCAATATCTCGATGTACATAAATTTCTATTATGGAGAACTCGAGATACATTTACTAAAGGACTTTATATATAAGTATCAACGTAAATGTGTTATAAAAGAAATGACAAGTCGAGTCTCAGCGGAACTGGGCGCGCGGAAGTTTGCGATAACGCATCCAAAAATTGAAAAATGAAAATATATACTTGTACTGAATGTAAATATTACAAACTATATTATTATTCATTTACTGCGCTTGTTATTATAATAATGATCGATTGAGATACTTGCGATACTATATGTTGTGTTCTTACATTAAAGAAAACGATAACACTTTAGACTGGCTCATTTTATCGGCTATATAATACTTTCGCACATTGACTGTTACTAATATCACATTACTTGAATATTTTTACAGAGTTCCTTGTCCTTCAACAAGGATCATTATTGATATAGCCAACATTCGTGGAACAGATCAATTATTTTCTCGCGCGCGCGCGTGCGTGTGTGTGTGGTGTGTGTGTGTGTGCGCGCGCGTGCGCGTGTATGTGAAATTATAAGTACTTACGGAAGAAATCTAAAAATCATATAAATAAAATAGATTTTTACACTGGTACTCTATATTCGTGCCTTTCTCATGCGCGTTTTGTATACATTTACGAGTACAAAAAACTTATTTCTTCCATTAAAAAAAATAGCAAAAATAATACCAGTTTTTTCTTAAAATAAAAATGTTTAGTCTTCTTTTTGCTGCAATATTTAATTTAAAGGAAAGTGAATAAAAAATAAGAGGAAAACAAAATATGCTGTCTTGAAAATGTGCTTTCAATATTCATTTTTTCCTGTTATTTTTAATTTTGATATTCGCGATGATTTTTTAAATCCTAGGCGACGAACATGGAGCTTATACTTATTATAACGAATGCAAAAGAATAGATAAATAGAAATCTTAATGTCAATACATTAAATATTCGTACACGTTAATCACAAAATTCTGTGCAACGTTCGCAGTTTCGAAATTTCATGGAAGATGAGATGCATCCATTGAGATGTTCATTTCACTTATCGTTTCTACACAATATGAAATATCAATTCTCTCTCACTCTTTCTCTCGCTCGCTCTCTATCTCTCCCCCTCTTTCTCGCTCGGTTAAATTAAAAATCTAAATTTATTCGCTCGCATTACTCTACTAATGATAATTTTGACTAGTCTATCTTGACGGCCGCATATATCTTCCTGATGAAAGCATACGCGGCGAAGAAACCGATCGTGCCGGTCAGTAGCCAGAATGTGAGGACCATCAACGCGGTGTAACCGAAATACATGAGGGTCGGCACTAACTCGGTGATTTTCAGTTTGGTAACGAAATAAAAAACGGAATACGCCAGTACGTAGACTGCGGATCCACCACTCACGATAAAGCTGCGCCACCACCACCTGTAGTCCTGGAATTAAAACGTCAAAGCATAAAAAATAAAAATATATATATCACATATAAAGGAACAGAAATTTTATGAATCAAGAAAACGAAAAAGATATATTTAAGTCTAAACTAAATGTAGAGGATAGAAAAATTGAGTTCGAAGTTTAAATTAAAAATAATTCTTAAGAAAAAAGACCAAATATCGCATTGAATATTAAATCAATGAGATTTTTTTGTAATTAATTTTCTCGTTATACTTACTTCGCCACATAACTGGAAGTAGACCATAACTATTGATATCTGCGAGCACGAAATTACAAGGATACAGAAAACGAGGAATAAAAATCCGAAAAGATAGTAAAACTGATTTTCCCAGAGCGCAGTTAGGATGAAGAAAAGTTCTATGAATACCGCGCCGAATGGTAAGATTCCAGCCATTAGAGTGCTACAAGCAATATTTCCTTTATTAATATTTAATAATAGAAAATTATTCTGTTAATTGTATATTATATTAATTTTAAAAAATGCTAATATATAAATGTATAAATATATCTAGACGGTAAGAGCGACCAGAGTTTTCGTGATTAATCATAAAACGAGATGAACTTACAATCTACGTTAAAGTCGCAAACAGTGGAGTGCATAAATATAAAAACACCCCAGTGACTATTTCCATATTAATAATAAAGTAGAAGAAATAGAAAAATCGATTAAATTATTTTCCCAAACTTACCACAATATTGGATTCATATACCATAGTTGATCAGGAACTTGTCTGGGAATTTGATTCGTTCTAACTGGATGGGTAAAGGGCTGCTTGCGATAGCCAAAGAAGTAACCAAGATAGACGAGAGGCAGCGAAATGCCGAACCAGAGGCATAGCAAGGCTACCATCGTGGTGAAGGGGACCGCACCGGAGCTATGTTTCCCCCATATGAAGAAATTTAGGAAGAAACACGTTGTGAAGACTATACCTGGATAGAACGTCGCTGTCTGCGATCAATATTTGTACGTTAGAAACTAGGATATACTTTCGTTAATAAGTTTCATTTAATAAATTAGAAAAAAATATAAAAGTTAATTGCGCAGAAAAATACATTCATGCTATATGACTAATTCCCGTTTCTACCAACGTTAAAATTTAATTTTAATCTCTAGAACTAAAGAAAGATTAGAATTAATCTACATTGATAGAAATGGGGATAAGTCATGTTTTATTAGATACAGTCTATGTTTTTTACCAGTAAAGCTGCTTTTCTCCACTCTCGACCCCGCATAGTTTTGTACAATCGGGCCGAGAAGTAGCCGGCGATTAAACCGGAGAACACGTACAAAAATATCGCACAAGTGCCCAAGGCTCCTCGACTCGCCGGCGACAACATTCCCAGCATCGCAAAGACTGCAGAAATACAGACGGGTGTAAACAAACATACACTCGCTATACGTTGCATTGATAGGATTCAATGTATTCCTACATATCGTAATCAGAGCCATGAAAAATATCTGGATGCCACTGCCGATTACGGAGGCGAATAAGCGCGAGTTGCTTGGTGGTCGAAATACATCTCCATGGACCAGCTTCCAACCTGTCTCCTCGATGGTTTCGTCCAAACCTGCCAGACTGTCACTCTCGCCTGCGTTGTAACGGGCTATATCCCTTCTGAGCGTCCTTACCATGATCATCGTAAGAATTCCTGCAAGGAATATATATCCAGAAATTAACATCTTAAATTCTGTAAAGTACAGCAAAATTATTAATTTTTTAAAATTATTATATACTTATATATTTATATTTTTACACTATATTTTTTATATTATATTTTTTTTAATTATATATTTATATAGGATGTCCCAAAATAATCGCCAAATATTTTATAAGCACAATTTTTAGTAATTAATATCTTGTTAACTATTGCGAAAATTTCAAAATGTAGAGGACTTTTCGACTCAGTTTAGTCCGCTCTACCTGAAATATTTGGATTATTTTGGGACACCCTGTATATTTTATTTTATTATTTATATATTTGATGACCTCAATCGATGAATAACAATGCATTTTTATACAGATCAAGTGAAACATCCCAAGAAATTTTTATTTTGTCTTTTTTTCAAAAGCTCACAATCATAATTATTGCATTCTCACCAGATAAGAAGAAGACGACAATAAGAGAATTGATAATCGAGAACCAGTGGATTTCTACGTCGCTCATACCGAGATACACGTCCCATCTACTCGCCCAGCTGACATCTGACTGTTTCCACTCCACCGAGTACAGGAAGAGGAGACTTGTGCCCTTCGGATTAACAAACTGCGGACTCGCCTCGCTCGGTAAAATACAAGTATTTCCATCGAATGTCAATTGAGATATGTCGATAGATCGAGCTTCCACCTCGAATCCGACTACTCTAAATTCGTTTCTGTAAACAAGATGATCATTTCATCATTTCTGTGGGGTTTCCTCAGTTCTGTGAACTCTCTTGCAAATGTACGGAATAGATACTAACTCGCCATGTTTGTGATAGCTTAATTTTAGCTTAAGATAGTTGTTGATGTACACTTGATCGTTCATAATTCCGCCTAGGCGATACCCTTGATAAACGACCACGTTATTCGTTTCTTTGTGTTTCTTTCTAGTAGCCGCTGGTAAATTATCTATCAGCCTAGAAAATCCAAAATGTAGACGACGCATTTTCTTGTTAATCTGGGATCACATCGATACTCGATTTCTTGAATGATGAGCATATAAGCTGCTACTCTGATGTATGCTGGAATATGTTTATGAATTAAACATGATATGCTGATATATATGATTTGTGTTCATTATTATATTATTTATGTTAATGTTATTTATATTATTTTTATGTTTATTATTCTAGGTTTATTCGGAGAAACGCTATTAGCGCTACTTTTATCATCTTGGCTTTATCGTTTTTTACACGTAAAATGAGCGTAAAATAGCGTCTTCTCAGACGCACTCAAAGTAAGTATATAGTAAGTATATAGCTACAGCAGCATGTGTGCATGTTTAGCATTCAAGAAATCAAGTATTGTGTGATCCCAGCTTTATGTATAATAATACGATTCTAACAAGTGCACGAAATATTCATGCTGAACCATCTGGATAACGTGCTGGGAATTGGCTTCGTCCCAAGTCATCAACTTGGATGGGTCGTGGCACAGCAGTCTGCAAGTGATATCTTCTGCCATTACAACTTCGTATGGAGTATTCACTATCCTGGAAAACAAAGATAATTATTAAAATTTGTGATAATCAGTCGGGAAATGAAAACAGAAACACAAGAGCCTGTATTGTTGAAAAATATTGTATACGAAAGTACTAAGAAAATCTATAATGTACATAACACATATTATTTTCGTACATTTTCGTACGAATATTTTCAAAAATATAACATATCAAATTACGACGCAAACATCTGTTATAATTAAACATCCCATAAAATTTTTATGAACAATCACCGATTGTACCGTTTTACGGTACAATCTTAAGATGTCATGAGTCTCAATCATTACAGAGACTTAAGGCAGTTTTAAATAATAAAAACCGACTATGAACTGGTTGTAGATTCAGTTTCATTTTTTTAGTTTAATTTATACAAAGTTACATATTAGTTTTTTATCTTTAATTCTATTTTTAACTTCCATGAATTTTAATTATCAAACATTTCATATTTCAATGAACTTCATTTTTTTAATAATGTTGACTATATATGGAAAATTTATAAATCCTCATTTAGTAATTGCCTTAGTTTCTTATATACGTACAATAAGTATACTGAAAAAGATCCAGATTAAAACATCTATGACACAATTATTTATTGTATTAATTATCGTAAATACATTCAAGAACTAATAAATGAGAAGATAGGCAGAATAAAAGCCTAATTATAAAATCTTGATATAAATAAAAATTAAAATAACTTGCTCCTTTTTTATTATATAATAGGTACAATATTAAATGAATTTATGTAATGTCTTTAAGAAGTTATAATACATGTTACAATACTTCTCTATTACAATCAATATTACAATCAATAAAAAAGCTAATCGCCGGAAAAAGAGCCTAAATAGAATTGTGTCTTTATTCCGCCCATCAAATGTACTGGCTCTTCTAGATTTTCTAATCTTTTTAATTCAAAGCTTTTAATTTTTCAGAAAATATTTCTTTAAAAGTATATTTAATTCTTCATTGACATATTGGGTGTGAACCACAAAATTGTTTTAACTCTCTGAAACTCAATTTTCTTTTATTCTATAGAACAAAAATACAATGTTTACAAAAAAAATCTCTGTTTTTTCAATTCCTAAAATAGCCTACATTCAATATGCAAAATAAATATCCTTTATCCAAAATCAACTTACAAACTAATTTTTTTTTCAAAGTATCATATTTGAATAACAATTCTGTAAATTTTTAATATTGAATGTTTTAAAAGTTACAATTTTTCGAAGATTTTACTCATTTTTTCTCTATTCATTGAACTCAAGAATTTTTTTCATCAAAACTGTAATGAAATTTCAATCAAAAACTATTTGAATGTATTCTACAGACCTTGAAATTGACCCATAATTTTTTTCACATTGATTGGATTTTTTAAGTAAGAATGTCAGTTGTTTAATATTGCTCTGGGTGTGAGCCATCCAGTGTCAAAAAGCGAAAAAAGAGGTGTGTCAACAAAGGATTAAAATCAGAGTAGTAATCATCAACTTTTTCCTAAATATATGATACATATTATACATAATTATATTAAAGAATATAAAATTATGATAACACTGATACTTTTTTTTTCAAAATTAAATGTGTTTCTTTTGGAATGTCTTACCTGTCACCACGTAACACCTCTCCCAAATTCTCAGATTTATAAATGAAGGTTCCATTCTTGGGTAAGCAAAATGGAAGGGAGTAGTATTCATATGGTAATTGTGTATGAGTGCTGGTCATCTTGACCGCTTTAACATCTATCTTTTGGCCCTTCTTGAACTCTACTGGAGCAACTCCAGGCACGTAGAAGCCATTCGTCTCTATCAGGAGGCATATTACCACTAGCACGGCACCATTCCTCTGTAATCTTCCCTATATTGAAAGATGTTATCAATTAGCACAAAGATAACAGGTAATAACATTGCAATATATTAAATTCGACTGAATCAGGGATTTGTGAAAAATGGAAAAATTTATTCTTGAGAAAAACTGTCATCAATATGACAATAATAAAAAAAGTATTAAATAAACGCTCATGCAATCAATATATGATAATAAAGGCCTGACCTTTTTAGTTAAATTTTTTGCAGGTTCACCTTTTTTCTTATTTTTTCCAATGTGAAGAGAAAAGGCAGAAAGATGAATCGTACAAGAAATTTAGTTAAAAAGAACAGGCCTATTAAAGTTCTTTGCAAATGGTGTAAATAACAATGATGCAAAATTATCATTTTTACGGTCAAGTTTACAACGAATCCATAAAGATCCTACAACATCGCGCTATTGTAAACATCTACAATGGGATGAATCATCGGATTTATATGTGCACGTAAAAATTGCGGGAAAGGAACGCATGAAGAGCATCGATTGCAGCAGGTAGTCGACGTTACGAGCTGTCAATCTTGTTTTGAGAGCGTTTGTGAGATTCGTTTGCGAGTAAACGCGCAGAAAAGACGAGAGCCTTGGCGAGACCGTGTCATGTCATGCCCGGCCACGTAGATTCCTCGAGAAATGGATTGCGAGCGAATTAGCTCCTATCGCACCTACCATTCTACGCGATTACTACGACTTTTCTGGCAAGGATGCGTGCTACGGTGTTCTTCGTAATGTCTCGCCTTCGATTTTAGCCGTCACCACCAACGGCACCAACTCCACTGTCACACTGTCAGCAATGTCAGCCCCACACCCCCACATCGGCGATCTATCCACAGTGAAGTTGCTGCCGCGTGCGCGCCCGCGCGCTGAAGTTAGCTGCGACGCGCCGAAGCTGCCAACATCTATTAAAAAAAAGTCTCTAGAAAAACGCGGTTTGATCAAAGAAATTATTGGGTCATCTAAAAAGTATCCGCGGTTTTTTGTCACTAGATGTGTGTTGATGGTCATATATCTAGTGACAAAGTACCGCGGATACTTTTTAGATGACCCAATAATTTCTAATGAAATATGTTATAAAATTGAAAAAAATTTTAAAATATTTTTTAAAAATTATGAGAAATTTCAGAAAATTTCAGAATTCACTTGTATGAAAAATTCTGAGATCAGATGTAAACTTTCCGAATATTTCGGAATATTTCTGAAAAATGTTCCAATTCGTATGAAAATTATAAGAAAAATTTTCGCTAGGGACGCGACAGACCTCTATCATATAACGAAGATAGTTCATGTTAAACAAGATTTTGGTCGAGGTAGAAATTTTAATATGGAACAAAGAGCAGTGATTAAATTTAATGCAAAACTTGGTAAAAGTGCATCAGAAACATTTCGATCGATGCGACAAGTTTACGGCAGTCAATATCTAGGTCGTACAGCTGTTTTTGAGTGGCATAAGCGTTTTTTGGAAGGCAGAGAGAGACCCTTAAAGATGACAAAAAATCAGGACGGCCAATTTTGGTTCGAACACCCGAAATGATCGAAAAAGTATGTGATTTGTTGCAAACGATCGCAATGCATCACTAAAAATGATGGAGGAGGCTTTAAATATCAGTAGAGAAATGATTCGAACCATATTACATGAAGATTTGGGTAAAACGAAGGTTTGTGCCAAGTTTGTTCCACACACATTAAGAAGCGAAAAATCAGCGAGAATCAATTATTCCAGAGTTGCAGCCGCAGAAAATAATCCAAACTTCCTAAAATCAATTGTTATGGGTGATGAAACATGGTGCTTTCAATATGATTCAGAAACTAAGCGTCAAAGTGCGGAATGGAAGTCAAAAAATTCACCACAAGCAAAAAAAGTACGAAAAGTTCCATCAAAAATCAAGACAATGCTCATCACATTCTTTGATAGCAAAGGTATTATCCACAAAGAGTTTGTTCCAACTGGCCAAACAATTACTGGTGCATATTATCTCGAAGTTTTAAAGCGATTGTTGGGCAGAATTCATCGTATTCGCCTCGAATATCGTGATCCAGAAAATTGGTCTTTGTTGCATGATAATGCACCGAGTCACACTTCATTGATTGCCCGTCAATGTTTGGCTCGAAATCGTGTTCTGTGTTAAACCATCCACCGTATTCACCTGATTTGGCTCCCTGCGACTTCTCATTATTCCCAAAATTGAAATTGAAATTGAAAGGACGCTTTTTTGATAACATTCCGACCATCCAATCAGCTTCTACACAGGCACTAGAGGCAATTCCGCAAATTGAGCTAGAACATGCATTTGAATCACTATTGAATCGCTGTAACAAGTGTATTGAAGCCAGAGGAGAATATTTTGAATAATAAAATCAAAAAATATGCATATTGTTGTTTCAATTATAATTTTCAGGCCCTGTCCGGGAACATATTTATCGCACTGTGTATAATTAACATATATGAAAAATTTTGAAAAATGTAGATTTTTTGAGAAATGTTCCAATAAAAAAAATGTGAGATAGTTAAATTGAAATTATATAGAAATTCTGAAAAATTATATAAAAAATCTTAAAAAAAATTTTCACCAGGGGTTACTTGCACTTTTTGCACTCAACACTCTCGCTTTCTTTTTTTTTAACTTTTGAGTATATATACAGTGAGTGCAAAAAATATTCGTACAGAGAAAATATTTTTTAAAAAGCTTTATTTTTAAAAAGTAAGTAAATATTGGGTCATCTAAAAAGTATCCGCGGTTTTTAGATGACCCAATTTAGATTATCCAACGAGAAATCAGTTGATGTCGAATCAATAGAGATACAATAATTTCAACATTAATTTGATGTCGATTCAATTCGACATTTAATTGACGATCATTGATCGCGTTTAACGGACTCGATAGTTGAGTGAGCGCTCGCTACTGGAGAGCCTCAGGAAAGAGTAGCAAATTGCATCATGAGACCCGTCTCCTCTGATTGGACATGGGCATCAAAGCTTCATAGGCATGAAAGAGATTAGAGAAAACTGGTCACGTGACCCCCATCCTGATTGGACATGAGCATTTACGTGATGTGATTTGCCACTCTTTTCTTGTGAGGCTCTCTATTCGCTACTATTGATATTGTATTCTTTCAAATCTAAAATGCTGATTGGATGATCTAAAAGAATACACCAATAACAGTGAGCGCTCACTTAACTGTTGAATCCGCTGAATGCAGTTGCAGTCATTTCTTGCTGGGTAATTAACAATTTATTTATAAAGAATAAAATAGACTGTATGTTTCTTAAAATTACATATATCAAAAAGATGTGTATTAATTATAGAAAATATACCATTTGAAAAATAAGCAAAAATTAAAAATTGTATTGTTTGGATGTTTAAAAAGTATTTGTATGTCACCGATAAGATACTGTTAAAGACCGTCAACTGGGTAAATTTTCGGTAGTATAAAAAGGGCCCCAAGAGCTTGCAAGTAATTAAAGAACGCTGACATTATCGACAATTGATATAAATTTGCTATTGTTAACATAAACATTTGGCTCATACATTATTAAATTTATGATTTTTTATTACATAAATGTTCCATAAATAAATATGCATACTTATAAAGCTATAATATCCTATATATTACAATTTTTTCTCTACAGGTATCATCTCTATTGATAATCAAACTTAGACGATAACACTGAAATCACAACTTTAAAAAAAAATTGAGTATTATTGAGTTCTAAATGTATAAATACGACTACTAAACTAATAAATCATAAAATTAATACAATATTATCAGTTTTTAATTCTTAATTACTTCAATATTTACAAGAACGCAAATTCCCGTAAGGATATCGGGCTTTAATAGTACATCGTCGGTGATACAGTCAAGAAATTTGGCTTCTAATATCAGAAATACATGTAAAGCAATACTTGCTCATTTATGTTAGAACAGAATATATTCATTGTCTAAAATTGCTAATTAATGTTTATTTTATTTTCTACAAATAATGCTTTTTTTTTATAAAAAATTTTCTCGTACAAATACTTTTTATATTCACTATATATATTGGGACATCTAAAAAGTATCCGCGGTACTTTGTCACTAGATATATGATCATCAACACACATCTAGTGACAAAAAACCGCGGATACTTTTTAGATGACCCTATATATATATATATATATATATATATATTAGGTGTTGGAATTAATTCGTAGCGTTTTACAAGTGATGGGAAGTACTTTCATTAATGTATTTTT